ATCATACCACATCTTCTTATTTTTATAGCACATTTAAAAGTAATACGCTTCTCCATCTTTCACTCGAAATGCTAAATGAAACACCACATCATGGATTTTTACTATCATGAATAGTTAAAAGGCAAAACTACAATAGAATTTGACTCATTTGACTCAATTTTATTACGGTATATAATGCAACAATGCACAAGATATATAAATGTTCAAAAACACACACACACACTTGTACATATGCAACAATGAGAAGATAGAATGAATGATTTTTCGTGAAAATCTACTTAGGTCTGTTATAGTGTAATTATATTGTCTTCATCGCTGCGCCAATGCTTATGAAGGCAAGAAAATGATTACTAGTAAAGAACGATTGATAATTCAACACTTGTCCCGTTTAAATAACTTTCATATCTATAATACCATTGCAGTATTATATTGAATTGTACTAACCCGACCGAATGCAAGGAAGGTGTTACTTTCGTCGTTCATCATTAAATTGAAAACAAATATTTTCTTTAAGATCTGCAGGATATACTTTACCTGCTTAGAAGCTAAATAATCCATTCCTTCACAAATACCAAGTGTTATTCGGAACAATCTTTCCTCTAATTCAACAGTAACGTTTGATCTGACGGACTCTAGAAACTCCTTCAGAACTGCTTTAGAACAATATTCTAAAATCATGATAGGACCACCTACAAAACAGAATTTGTGTCAACTTTCAAATTATAGCACCCTAAACGGAGTTGGGGTGACATATTGTTATTCTACGTTTTTTTTTCTTATTTTATTTTTTCTTCCGCTTTTTTTTTATCCAGCTTTTATCTTGGAATTGCATGAATAAACTCTTATAGATACCAGGATTGAAATTTTGTACGCCGGACGCGCGTTTCGTCTTTAAAAGACTCATCAGTGACGCTCGAATAAAAAAAAGTTAAAAAGGCCCAAAAAAGTACGAAGTTGAAGAGCATTGAGGACCCAAAATACCTAAAAGTTTTGCCAAATACAGCTAATGAACCAATTCTAACGAAACTATACAATAATGTTAACCATCATGTGCATAAGTGCAATCGGGGTACGGCATTTTTAAGATGGCTGCCGTTACCACGGAAACTGCAAAAATGTGGAAAAAAAAATCTTAATTCTAAATCTTTTAGAATAAGACCCAATTGGATGAAACTTTAAGGAAATGTTACCTGTTATACCTAGATGTCTTGACGGTATTTAAAAATTCCAAAATGGCTGCCATTGCCATGGCAACGGGTGAGATGTTTAACATTGACTCTTATGGAAAAACACATAAAACTAGCATTTTTTAAAGAATATAAGATCAAACACAATGAAAATGTATTGACATTTAACATGTTATGGGTCAATGTGGTATATGTTGTTGGAATTTTAGCAATGGCTACCGTTACTATGGAAACAGCATAAATGACCAAAAATTTTAATGCACCAAACTTTATGAAACTTTACAGAAATGTTTACTAGTATGTGAACAGTTGATATTTTAGTTTGGAATTTCAAAATGGAAACAGCATGTAAAAAATTGGAAAATGCTTCAAACTTTCTGAAAATTTACAGAAATATGTGTCGTCCTGCATTTATGTGTATTGACTGTATAAAATTTTCAAATTGGCTGCAGTTTAGTGGCAATTGGCGGACGAGGCTGCCATCTGCGTGCAATTGCATATCTAGTTTGTATTTGCTTCTCTAAAGTTTGTTTGTAGTGCAATGGTCGGCTTCATAGTACAATGCACAACACCGTCACAAGATATAACTTATTTGGATAATTACAGAATATTCTCATTGCCAAAGTGATTTTACTTGGATTTGATTTTTTTCCAGTTTCAATGCCTCTTCTGTTATAGTCTTTAACTCAATTAAAATTAAATTTTCACATCAATGTTCCGACTATTTCTTCTTTTCAAACACCTTTACTAATATAGGTCATTACACAGACTTCCCAAACAAAACACAAGTGGATGAAACTGTCTTCCAAAATTTAATCATGTGTCATTATAATTTTTATTCACTTAAAAATTTTTATATAATCAAAAGTTACTGTCATTTTGTTACAAAATATTCAATTTGATATATAAATATTGAATAGAGATACGAATGCAACAAACATCTCATATTGTTGCAAATTGCTTGACATTGTTCAAAGTAAATCAATGCCCAATCTATGCTTTTGGTATAAATTTGACAACTGTATACCGTATCAGATTCTTTATTACATGCATAGTAGTGATTGTATGTAGTTTGTGCTGACACTATTTCCCTGGTAAGAACTTTATATGAACTATCAAAAAACATAATAAAAAATTCCAATCCTCCAAAACCAATCCTTTAAGTCTTTTTTAAAATCTTTATATGTGTTATGTTTGCATATTGCTTAATTCATTTCCATTTATGTATATAAAGTGATATGATCGTAGGGTCATTGGCCTGGTGTTGTGTTACTGGGACATATTACGTCCCACGGTATAATCATTTTTCAAGATGGAGTTATGCATGTTATGGGTGATAAAATGCATAATGCTGAAAAGCACTAAAACCGTAAAATATACTGTGTGATGTTTTCTGCAATGTAAATGTAGATTGGAAATGATTAATACATATCAGTCGGTGATCGTATGATTCATTTATTGACGTTGAGCAGAAATTTTATCTGGTAACTATATACTCTATTTAAAATGAGGCCGTTGAGAATGAGAATTGAGAACCAAGGTTTTAAAGATATTTTTCACCGTCTTTGTACTATAGTATCAATGTTGTTTTAAATACAAGACTTTCCAACCATTTAGACAAGAGAAATATATTCACTGATTGCCAAGCTGGCTTTAAAAGTAAAACAAGGACAACAGACCACATGTTTATCCTCAAATGCTAAATAGGTAAATATACTAATTGCAAGGGAAGTAAATTTTATGCTTGTTTTATTGACTTTAAAAGAGCTTTTGATACTGTGATACACCCAGGTACCCTTATCAAAATGCCAAAGTCAGACATTGGGGGAAAATTCTACCATACCATTTAGATAAACACATGTATACTCTCAATAACCATACCATTAAACCTATTATTTTGTATGACTCAGAGATATGGAGAATGTTCAAAACTGACTCTGCATCTTGTAAAAAAGATGCTATAAATATACTTGAAAATATATACCAGAACAATGTTGCTGATAAAATGAACTTAAAATTCTGTAAGCATACTTCAGGCTTTAATAATAAAAGTACAAATGTTGCTGTACAATCAGATTAAGAAGATTTTCTATATATTTTAATATTGTTATACCTATGATAAGCTATTTGCATTGATTACATCCTTGTAACTCAAATTTATTGAAAAAAAACTTTATATGTGACAAGAATATGTATTAAAATAACATTATCTCCTAGTATTCCTCTGTTAAATTATTCTAAAAATGCTTGAATTGAAAGAAACATATTGTATTGATTATTCAATTAATAGATTAAAATAACTTATTATGAAAAAGTTAAAGACATTGCTTTTGAAAGCATGGTACAATGAAAAGGATAATGTTACTGGAAAGCTGGATACATATTTTTCTCACAAAAGTATTTTTCAAATGGAAAAATATCTTGATATTAAAATTTTGAATTAAGACTATTGGGTAACTTTTTCATAAGTGCCCACCAATTACAAGTGGAAAAAGAGCGACATAAAACAAACCTATAGATATGTCACAGAGGACTTGTAAATTTTGTTCTCATAATGATATAGAAAATGAGTTTCATTTCTTAATAAACTGTCCATTATACAATAACTTCGTGAATTATTGTATGCACAAGTTGATGCGCACTGTCAAAATTTTAATAACTTAGACTGCAAATCAAATTTTGTATAGTTAATGACAACTGAAGATAAATAAATACTTGAAAAAAGAGTTTTGAATTGAGATCGGAAAAGTCTGTAAATGGCTAAGTCTCTTTTTGTTTATCTATATTTATTGAATTTTAAATAAAACACATTACTTTATCTATGTGTATGCATTATACATGTATACGTTAATGCCTAATGTATGTGTTAAACTGCAGTCAAAATTGTAAAGGTGCTTATCCAGTTCTTGCTATTTAAATGTTATATATATAAATATTTTGTAATTGGTTGCTGCATGTACATGGGATAAAATTACCCTTTTATTCAATCAGTTGGGACTTCATTTTTTTCCAGACATATCTTGAAAGTTTATTAGATACTGTTTAAAGGGAGAGAAATAATCTTTACATATTAATTTATTGTCTCCCCTATTAACTTTTCTCTTTCATGTGTATGCACTAACTATTCATTGTTCTATTGTGTTGTATTTTCTTATGTCATTGTCATAAAAAAAAATCATTGTAATCATTGGTCCATAACTGGTCAAATAAAAAATTTCTATTTGTATTTGTATTTCTATTTCTATAGTACAAATTGGTCACAGCAAATCATATTACAGACCGTTAAACGTTATAGCAATCTCGAGCTAAGTATACAAATGTACATCTATTTTCCATAATGTTTCAGTAATTGTATTATGTTACGACCAGAAGTAAAAGTTAAAGATGCCAAAATTTTACTCAAATCTAAATCTGTGGCATCATCTATTCACAGTAACTTTGTATAATGCCCCGGGAACATCGAGTATTACTCCAGGTAGTTCACATATAGCCAGTTGCATATATTTTACAGATATATGTTTAAGCATGTTATCGTTTCCTATCGAAGGTTTGATGGTATGTATGCGTAAGCAATCAGTATTCTCCATGAAATGTAACCAATAAAAATAAAGTAGAGTTAAATCACATTAATTAACTAAACATAAACAGTATATTTGATTTTGATGTCCCTGTATAATGTTCTGTGCATATTAAGCCTTAAACAATGTTGCATGGAGTGTACCTTAAGAAAGGTTATTCCAGAAACGCATGCCGTTGCACCTCAATCGATATCATACCTATTTGTTTATATAATTCTATTATGTCTTTACTCACGAATATCATCGTTAACAGATCCAATAAAATCCAAGATATTTTTGTGATGTCCAATTTTTGTCCCATAAAAATTTATCTTTCCTTTCATCTTTATGACGTTATCTTCATTCTGGTCATCTTCAAACAGAGAAATAAACGTGCAACTAAGTCTGATGTTTCAACATAAAACAATATTCCTCTATTCAATCATTCAATAACGACAGGACTTGCTTCGATGTACAAATATTTCTGTCATTTTTTTATATATAAATCTATATTTTGTTCATCAAGCAAAACAACATTATTTTCATTTACACTGTTATTTTAAATGATACATTCAAACGAAACCATCATTTCGGCTATTAAATGTCGCAATACACTATTGTGTAATCTATGGGATGGGAAACTTAAAAAAAAACGGAGCAGTGTCAAATTTAAATAAACTAACACTTAACAATTAACATTAATCGTTTTTGTTATTTGAAAGATGTTATTGCTGGTGGATCTTTTATAGTTTCTGTTTAATTTATTTAGATTTATTAAACGTATGATGACACTTGTCAATAATCTATTGACAAAGACTGTGTGCGTTGCCTTGTAAATGTCTTCTAAATAAATCGTCTGTGGTGTCATTTGAATGTTGTCATTTCTTTCTCTTGAATGGTTATGTATTTTCTAATATGGAAGATTTTCATCTATATAATTTACACAATAAGTTATCATCAAGAAATTTTCTACTTCAACAATACCTTTTAAAGTTTTTGCCACAACTTTTCTGACTTCCAGGTGGTTAAAGTATTGAGCCAAATAAATTATAGCGAATCGTCCACGTGCAAGTTCTGTTTCTAAAGATAAATCTTGTCTTGAGATCGTCCACGTATCTTGGCCTTGTGTTTCCATTGCACCGTAAAAATATATATCATCATCGTTATTCGACATCTGGGCTCTGTTCTAATAAAAAGTTGAAACAGAAATTAAAGTTGGGTTTATTATGTTCTAGTTACACTCCTTATAATTTATTGTACTTTAAAGTATTAGCCTTCATAATGGTTTTGAATTTAATTTTTTTTTGTAAAATGTCATTCCTCATTCTTCTGATTTTCAATGTTTATTTTTATATCTAAGTTATCTAAATTTTTAGAGAGTCCAGAGATCTTTACTACAATTAATGAATTATCCTCATATTCATTCTTCGGTATGTAAAACTTTACAATTTTCTTTTATAAACATGCATTATTTCATTGAAACTATGGTCAATAGCAAGTTGTATGGGCATTACAAACAATACTTAACATCTTTTCGCTGTGTCATTTGATCATATTTATTATCTAATATCTATGAGTGACATTAAAAGCGGATCTACCTGTTTAGGAAATGGTAAAGAAGGTAAATGTAATTGACACAAAATTCAGAAACGCACCAAACAAATTGTATTTCAGACACACTGCGATGGATAATGCAAATAAAGGCAACAGTAGTATATTGCTGTTCAATAATTATAAATCCATTTAACTCAAATCCGGGTTACAAACCAAAACTGAGGGAAACACATTAACTATAAGAGGAAAACAACGGAACAACATAAACACTGAACTGCTACAAAAACAAACGACAACGTACATAGAAACGGACTATTTGATAACAACTGCCATATTCCTGACTTGGTACAGGATACTAATTTTGCCAAATTGTGTGTTACTATATGTTTAATCAAAAACAAATGATGTAGTCTACGAACGAATATTAAAACAAACACCACAGAAAATAAATTACGACTAGTCAATATACTAATGAAAAAAACATGATATCGACAGCAAGTAGTTGGAATACTTTAAGTTGTTATCGGTTCTGTTCAATATTTCAGACTTTGGTTAGTATTTTATTATTATATTAAATATTATCGAAAGTTTAAAAGATCCACGACAAATTAAGCAAATTTTCGTACAAACAAGTATACCGTTTATGAAACATTTACAAACTGAACAATTATTTTATATGTAAAGATTTCGATTTATTTACTTGTAGGCATTCCAACGAAATTTTAAAAAGTTTAAAAAAGAAATAGCAAAATGTTGTTTATAAACAGCCATATGCATAAACAAATACACGATATAAAAATAAGAAGATGTGGTATGATTGGCAATGATACAAATCTCTACCAGATAACAAACTCATAGGTCACCTTACGGACAATGAGAAAAACCCATGCCGCATAGTTAGCAATAAAAGACCCAGAAATGACAAATGTAAAACAATTCAAAACAAGAAAACTAACGGCCTGATTTAAGTACAAAACAATAAACGAAAAACAAATATGATAAACAGCAACAAACTACAACCACTGAAGTACAGGCTCCTGACTTTGGACAGGCACATACAGAATGTGGCGGGGATAAACCTGTCTGATGGCACCAAACTCTCCTCTAAAATGGAAAGTGGTGTAACAGTACAACATAAAAACAAATTATAAAAATAAAATAAGAAAACAAAAGCACAAAAGACAAAAAGTACAGATATGAGAGTACTTGCAGATATTGAAAGCTAGTTCAAAGCCAATAACGAATAATACAAAATCGTACGCGTGTGTGTTAGACTTAAATATCAACTAGTACACATTCAATATCCAATGGATTTAGTGTGAAGACGTCATAATGACTATTCCTTTACAGATGCTTTTAATATTACGTTGCGCATTATTGCATCCATGGAACTGAATTGATATTATTTAATCTAAATTCCTTGTAATTAAGGATTTTTTTCCCTCTTTTAGAGAAGTACCCATATTACGCCTGAATCTATTACAATCAGAGTCGGGAGCCACCTGTTTCAACATGTATTTTATAACTTGACTAATTTGTTAAGAAATATGATCAGATGAATACCGGGTACCAAATCAATAGGCATCTGATGTTCCATGGAAGATTCAAATCAAGTGATCTATATTTTGATTCTTTTGCTTGCTTTTATATGGTATTTAAAGTCATAACAAATTTTTAAGACATAATCAAAACACATAAAGCAGTTATACAGAGTTCAATGAACTGATTAGATTTTTCATAAAACGCGTCCTAGTGACAATTCCAAATTCGTTAATATTTTTTCTTACGCCTTTTGAAATTCTTCATTTACTGGTATTTATTTTTTATCGTTCGCACGTTCACTCGCACACAGAATTTTTTCTATTGCATTCGTTCACTTGACTAAAAAGTTTTATTCAAATTAACGATTAAGTAATATAAAAATCTTCTAAAACAGACCCCCCTCCTTAGCCAACAATAATAGTTCTATTAACTATAACCATAGTGGTATTCATATGTTGATGTATGTGTTACTGATAGCAGTTTACTTAACTCTTCCATAAAGTATATTTACATTTCCACTGGCTGTTTCACGTACTCTGATGGTATTTCTAATAGTTCGTATGCCAGCAGTAACTCTTTGTTTAGCAGGTTGTAATCTTCCGGTTCTCCAAAGAAACATGAATACAGCAACAACAATAAATAATACTAAACATAAACCTGAAATGATATTGAAACAATAAGAAAGAATATCACATGATTAATCAAACTTCCAAAAGATTTTTCTCAGCCTAAATTGTAAACTAAAGTTTTGTAGATTGTATATATATATATAGGTCATTTAAACGATTAAAAAAAATCCAACTGAATTGAAGTCAAGTATTGTAATCGTGCGTATTATATTCAAATTGGCGATGCAATTCATTTCTACACCGACAATTTATCTGTTTTTCTCTTCCCTTTCGAAACAAATGATCATTTTCAAGAAATTTAGAATTATACAATTAATTTAAACAAAATATATGCCCTCCACAACAGATGAATAGTCGGTGCTTTAAAATTTGAAACATGATGCACAAGTATTTCTTCCCCGATTAGGGCGTCCTGTTTGGTTATACATGAAAATATTTGTTTTGCTCTTCAAGTCATTGGACTCTTCGTCTTTACAACATTTGGCTTCGAGCAAATCTGACGAGAAAATAATTTGTCAATGCGGATATATAAATTAAAGAAAAACATTTAATAAATTTTGGACGTCCGGCGCAATTTTTTCGGATTTACCTTTATCAGGAACACTCAAACCTAAATATTTGAAAGCCAAGGATGGATAAATACATAGACACGTAAGGAGGTAGTTGATCAAAATGGATGTGAAATACTAGCCAAATTCTTATAAGGTCAACATTGCCTGCGGGAGCTGGAGTCTTAGTTTTACTAATAATTTCATAATCTATCAACGGGGGATTTTAAAATAGTATGTTATCAGTCATATACGATTAAATATATGGTATCATATTTAATTTGGTATCTTGAAGTATTGTAATACAAATTCTATTTGGTATCATATTTGGGTATCTTGAAGTATTGTATAACAAACTCTTCCTTGGTTGTCATTATATTGGTGCATGCCCAATGTTTCCTTTTGTTTATCATTGACAAGACAATTTAATCTCACCTAGATTGGCAAAATAGTTTTGACATTTGATATATTAAATCGAACAAAAAATGCTAAGGTATTATCTAATACTCAGATATCGATATGTTCCTTTAAATTATATACCCGAAATGAGTATTCCAAAAGCAACAGTAAAACAACTGATTTAAACTGCAACTCTTCTAAAATACCTTTTGACAAATGAACTCAATTTTTGCAGCGTGAAAAGAAATTTGTGTAAAAAAGCTATTCATTTTTAGAAATCATCGAAATTTTTAATTGTTCTTACTCAAAAATGTTGTGCACTATATCTTTCAATAACTTTAAGTGATAAGCCTAAATACATAAACATTTTGAAGAAATACATACAGGTTTCATAAATTTGAAGCTTGAATGAAGCATCGCCATTGTTGTGATTTGTTTTAAGTATGTACATTTTCTTTTGTTATTTTTACAATTTTTTTACAATCAATCCGCAGTCTGTACACTGTAAATTTTGCGGACGCGTTCCAATTTTAACACAATATGTTCGGTTATTAACACCCTTATGTTCCACACTGAACAACAGCGTTAAAAATATAACACATTGTGTTCAGTCTTTTAACGCACATGTTCAAGAATAGTTTTCTGAATTTGAACACTTTAGTGTTCTAATACTGTAATGGGGAGTGAAATAATATTTCATAACTTTAGAGTCAAACAGACGATGAATAAGAAATGGTTCATATCATACTTTGACGATAAATGTATGTTAGCTGTATCCACATAAATAAATTATAGTTAAGTAAAATGAACTTTGAAACATATCACCGGAGCGTATTTATAAGCGTGGAAATGATCGATTTTTTATATATATCTTTTTTCTAAACGACTTAAGTTCTTTGGGTATATTTTTAACCAATGTAAATACACAAATACTACTGAAATCGTTGCTGTTGTAAAAGCGTTCTGGTCTCGAACATGATGCGTTCAAACTTATCATTTTCCCTGAACGCCATGTGTTCCAAACATTTCCGCGTAAATAATAGCACGTGACGTATGAATGTACCGGAATTTTGTTTTTTGAACGATCTTGTTATGAAATGAAGAAGCGTCACTGAAGAAAATTATCAACAAAACTTGATTTAATAGGTATGTATATCTATATTTATAACACATTACGAACTGAAAATTTTATTTTTAAGTATTTAATCAACAAATTCCTCCTTTGACAGGACACACTGAAGTTTAAGTGGAAGTAGAACATTTTGTTTGAACACAGAACAATTCGTTTGTAACGTGCTGTTATGTCATTATTCGTTTCAAAGAAATGAGGAGGTTCTTTGTGAGAATACATAAAAATGATCATATTTTATTATTGTTTAATCAATGTAAATACGTAAATGCTAACGATATCGTTGCTATTGTAAAAGCGTTCTGGTCTCGAACATGATGCGTTCCAACTGATAATTTTCCCTGAACGCTATGTGTTCCAAAAATTTCCGCGTAAATAATAGCACGTGACGTAATATTTTACCGTATTAATCACAATTGATACATAGAAGTTCTTAACTGCCATATAGAAAATCACGGCACATAAAGCACAGCATGTGTATAGAAAGCAACAATTAGATTTAATAGGTGATTATCCACACTTTTGAGGATGTCCATTTGTAAAAATAAAAAACAATGCATAAGGGTTTGTTCACATATACAAGTACTGTCAATGTCAAAAGAATAAGTTGTAAAAAGACATTCTGCAACACAAGAATTTTAATTTTCTAATGTATGTGGTATTGATAGCTTTCACTTTCATGAATACATAATTCTTCAGTAATTCATTTTAGCAAATGTGCACCATTGTGTACTTCATATTGTAATGTAATCCCTTGCTACTTTTATAGGGTAAAACACAACCACTTAGAGGTATTAAATTGTACGTTCATACATAGAGAATGCAGAGAAAATTTCGCAAGTCCTGTAACCTTATAGATGGCTACTTATCCAGCACCATAAACATATTTTATGTAAGTTTAAGAATTTAACGAGTGCTCATTGCCTTCTTACAATTTTTGGAGTTTTGTAAATGCAGATTTATCAATAAATTGTGCACCTTCACTTGTGGAAATGAATCAGAAAACTATTTTAGCAGAACCTATATTATTACTTCAAATTTAATCCAGGGAAGTATTGTGGAATTACCCGTATACAGATCAATGATGAAATTCCTACACATTTTTTGAAAACAGGACTTGAAGCATATATGTTAAAGCAAATGATCATTCATTAGTTTCTCCATTAGTTTATTGCGATGCTAGCAGTCAATTTAGTGACATGTCTAACGACAAAACTTTGCATAAAACACCTTTGACAATTTGCTGTACACTTCCTTTCATGTTTTTTTTCTAAAAGCTATAGAACACGAGAGCCCCATACTTGAAAATATGCTACTCTTTAACAATCAAATAGTAAAAATGCATCTTACTAAATATTGCACTGATTAAAAAAAAACTCTAATAACGCTGACAATTATAATTGAATTGCAAAAACGAAATATAAATGTTTAATTCTTAAGCAATATCAAAATGATCAACAATTTGTTTATTCATACACTTTTTATTTGACATTTCAGAACTTACGGTTGATGGATAACAAGGTTAAGGAGTAGTTATAACACAAGGAGAAGAATCCACTTAAAAAAGGAAGCTCAAAAACAATTGTAGATGACTCAAATCGTGTTTTAAAATGCCAAGGTAGCAGTGTTACATGAGAACTGACTCAATTACTAGGCTAGCAGCATATAAACATGGTATTTTATGTTTGATATTGACTATCTAAAGTGCTATGCGGGTAGTGGATTATGGAAAATATTGGTGATGAATGAGCCATTGACATCCGAGATTTTTGTAAAGAAATTCAGGACAGAGCTTGACTTTAGAGGTTGCAAACGATGAGTTAAACTGTGTCATAATCCAGTAGACTTTCTTGTAATAAAGATTTTTTAATGTGACGAAACTTTTGCATGATTTAACCAACAAAGATAGACGACGTGAGGAAGAGAATCTGCAATATATATGGACACATTCTGCCAATGAAATTATAGCGTAATTTCGAAATTGGTTATCAAATGTTATATCTCTAACTTGTCTAACTTGTGATTTTGAAGTTGTTTCAATGATTCACATCGTATTGTACTTTTTTAAAATTTTGCCTCTTTTAATCAATTTAAGATGTTTTTTTAAATTAATTAAATTATTATTTTTACAAGACCACAAGAATGTTTCTGAGAATGGAACACTTTTTCTGGAACATGTAAAAATGTGTTCCAGTAGTATACACTATGTGTTCTAGATATTAACCCATATTTCTGGAACACAGTCCGAGCGTTCCAGAAGTGTTACAAGGCTTGGAACGCGTAACGGCGTACAATTATGCTCACAAGGACATGTCCTAGAATCAAACACTAGGTGTTCAAGGAAAAACACTATCCGTTCAAGAATTTAACACATAGTGTTCGAAAGATGCACACATAATGTTAAAAATTGGAACACCAATGTTAATATTTAGAACACTGTTACGCGTTCCAGAAGTGTTACAAAAGGGCGTTCAAAAAGTGTTTAGATTCTTAACACTTTTATTTATAGTGTAGAGACTGAGGTTTTCCTAATTGACACTGTAAACACTTGTCAATAGATATTTGACAATATCATAGATTTACATGGCAAATACTCTTACTTGCAACTATTGCAATGAAAAGGTTCTTGGACAGTCCCGCTATTACATTCACATGGGTTTCAGTATACACAGGAGCCATTTCCGACACTAAAATTGTAACAAAAAAGAAATATATATATATGTAATAGTAGAATCTTTGACATTGATTAAATCAAAATTTACTCAGATATACTGGAATTATAGCTTCACGAAAATGTCCTAAAACAAGTCATATGTTTTGTCGTAAGGTGAAACTTAAGAGACATTACATCACACTAGCTTATCGTAGTGTTTTATAAAATATACGTTCTTTTCCAGATTTAGATAATACAGTTTCTAACGGAAAACTCAATACAGGAATCTGCAACAAAAGAGAAGATTTTGCGTTCATTATTGTTAATTTTCCTTTTTTTAACGGTATTGTTCCTTTGACTCATCTTACGGTGTGTATGTTTCACCCACTCGTTCACTATGCACGTGTCTGTAGTGACGTTTTAGATTTCATTGAACGTCATCTATGTATAACTGGCAAATTATTAATAACCTTATAGGTACCAGCTTTACTGCACCTGATGCACATTTTGACAATCAATGCCTATTCAGTGATGCTCGAGACCAAACTATTTAAAAGTCCGAAACCCTAGTACAAACGTTGAAGAGCTAATAAAACCAAAAAGGACTACCATTAAAACTGCTTGTTAGCTTTAGGATATTTTTTTTGCAATTTGCTGATAAAAATGTATTGCTATCTAGTTGTTTACTAATATGGTAACCTGTCTGCACTGCATAAGGTGACGAGTTTTTCAGACTGCTTTTAAAAGACGTCTTTACACTAAACCCTTTTGTGTAGTACTCAGTGATCATTTAGTCTTGGAGAATACAGTTAATTCGTTAGTTGAAATAAGGCTTTGCACCAACTTTCAATAGCTTCTAGTACTCTTGGATCGGCACTATGTCTCTTTTTGTCTTTTTATTATTTGTTATAATATGATGAGTCTGCTTTGTTAAATCATGACCTTTCGATTTGATTTTTTTATCTGACCGTCAAAAACCAAACTGACAATTTATTCAGAAAAATGACAAAAAATACTCATAAGCCCTGTTTAAGTATTGCAGTTATCTTCCTAGGTGACCATATACGCAAAACGTTATCGAAGCGCTCTATATATCTTTCTCTCTTCTGACGTGATGGATGAATATGAAAGAGGCTCAAATGAGTATTTTATATTCGCCTCATTGCTCTCTCTTTTCCGTGTGGTTGGTTACAATTTTAGATACGTTCAAAGAAAGCAGAATGGACAAGGCCGTTAATATTTTGATGTAACACATCCCCAGTTTTAACTTTTTATTTATTCAAATAGTATGCTGTTCCTAATATGCGAACAGTACAGATATAGGCTGTTTAAATATAAAGCCCTTTCGATACAATTATAAGGAATTAAATCCAAATGTGCATACACTTTCATGGTTGTGAACTTGCAATTGATATAATCGCAAGTTCACAACCATGAAAGTGTATGCACATTTGGATTTAATTCCTTATAATTGTCACAACACGCACTGGAAAACAAGTTATGCCATGTTATAGAATGTGAATTGATATCTGTATTGGCTGGCCATCGTTATCCTACTGACAACATTTATTATCAAAGCAACAAAAAAAGCAACATAGAAAGTGTTGCTGTCATGAAAACTTTTATCACTTTTATCTTTAAAAAATTAAAGAGGTTGATAGATTGTATAAACGTTTATATACATTTAAGATGATATTTCGGATGTACAACACATGCAATACAGAATTTTTATATCATCATTTTCTAAATTGAAAAGGGACAAAGGTACTTCACGTGTTTAGGGCTCTGAAATAAAAAATTATAAAATTTTATCTAACCCTGTTTTATTGCTGATTTTAACATGATATTTTCGTCATTATAATATGTGTATGCAATGAAACTTGTCATTAGACCAAAATTAAGTTGTCGTAATACAATTTGATTGAAATTTACCCACACTTCGTTTATACTGCTTACTTTTAAACGAAAAAAAATGGATAAGATTGATCATAACATAAACTAGAATTTAGATGAACTTGTGGCAAATATTGTTTTAAAGCTGGCAACATTTCAGTGTGACACAATTCAGACTGTTTGAACTTACACAGTGCTGATATCATCAAACTACGTAACGTTACATTACTAATATCTACATAAACGTTAGACTATATTATAAAAATAGTTTTGTTCTAATTGTTGTACGATCATTTGTAAATTTGACAGAGAAAAAAATACATAGAATTCTAGCTTACCGAGCAAGTGCAAACTAGTGTTTTAGTTGTGCCACTAATTGCTTCATCTTCACCTATTCATGTCAATTTTAAAAACATTTTGGTAAACAAATCAGTAAATTTGGAAATATTCCATTACTGGAAAAAATTACGTTCTCTCTGAAATGGCTGAACAGTACACCGCCTTAGATATATAAAAAGCTGAAATTTGAACGTTTTGGATACTTACAATTCACTTCACACAAGCCTCCCTCGTACCCATTTTCGCATAAACATTTGTCAGCTGCGTAACAAGTTCCATTGTTCTTACATTCAGGATTACAGATAGCTACAGTTAGATAGACATAATCTTACAAAAACTTTCAAAATGAAAACAGCTACAAATGCGCTATACTCTTTAGATATTTTGAATACTTTTTAGACTTTTATGGAAAGGCTACACCTCTTGTATTTAACACTCATATCCTTTTTTTTGCTATTTGTCCGATTCCAAAATGGTATGGGAAAATAAAAAAAAATCATTTAGGTAAAATAAGAGGTGCACAATGTCATTAGGTAATAAAAATTCTGTGAAAATTTCAACGTAATGGGATACAGACGAATGAATTAGATCTCAGGCATTACAAACATGATCAACTATGCAATTGGGAGTCAAATAAGGGTCAAATAGGAGAATTAAAGAAAAACAAATAATAACACAGATATTAATTTATCATGGGTACCTTTTCAGTTTTGAACTATTATTTTCCTACAGGAGATTTTACAAAATATTCAACGGTGTAAATATATGTGCAATCATAACTATTTGTTTAGTTTTCGAACAAACATGTACATGATGTACTAGTATATACTTACGAATATCACAAATAACTCCTTCATAACCAGCAGGGCATCGGCATGTGTTTGTTTGGTAACATGTTCCGTTGTTCGTGCATTCTGGACTGCATGTCACTAAAACATTTGAAAAACATGCTTTAAAATTTCTTAGAATAAGATATCAAACATTAACTTATGAACTCGTATTTATATTAATATGTATCTCGTGGTATAATTTGAATTTAACAGATAAAAATAAAGGATGTTTTTATAGCGAGTTGACAGCGATATACATTGTAGCTTTTGATGCTATCTGGCTTTGAATATATAAATCTTTTTTAATTCTGTCTCAAAGTTATTATTATTGAATTCATAACAGGGTGGACGAGGCCATTTCTTGGGGCACTCAGTTCGTCGATTAACTGGGTAAGATCAGATAATCGTTCGTCTTTTATGCCCACTTAATACGTTTTACAATGGACATTTAAACGTACGTGGGGTTTTCAAAGGTTTTTAAACGCATTAAAAACAAATAACTCGAAAAAAATATTACTGGAGTTTGATTAACATTGATTAATATTGAATATTTTGATATTCATCACTGATAATCGATAATCAAATTATTGATATGATACCGAATTCGAACGATCATTTTAACTAGCTTTAAAAGTAGTGATGACTGTGTTAGCAATTACCCTTTTCGTACTTTAAAGCGATTTTACCATTGTGGTTTTCTAAAATTTGTACGGGCTCTTCGTATCTTTCAACTTCTGTCTAGTCTAAAATTTTAGTTTAAGAACAAAGACATGATACATTTTAAATCGTGGTGCAATAAAAAATTTAAAGAAAGAAATTCTTTCGTACGGTCTTTTTTTTGAGCTTTCAATATACAGTAAAAAGCTACATGTATTAGGACCTAGCTCAAGACAATTTGCATTTACTTTATGAAAAAGGAATCATTAAATTCAATATCTAAATATTGCACCGACCACTCATTTGTTCTAAGAGTGTGTGGTTTTAATAATTTTTTTGTGTGTGGGAACATACAATATTTTTTTTAATCTTAAGTGTCATTTTTTGTTTTTGCTACTTATTGATTCACAACAGCCTTACAAATACCAAACTGTACCAGTTTTCCCTTAACATAAAGCAGTATACACAACAAAAAGTCTTTTACTAGCTTTCAGTAACTGCGAGTACTCTCAAATCGTACTTTCGTGTGAATTTGACCTGTAGACACAATTTGTAATGCATTTCTGTTATTCAATGTTTACTTATTTTGTGTTATATCTCGTCTTACTATTTTTGATATGTACCACCTTTGATAAGTATTTAGTATGACAAAAAAAAGTTCACTACTGTACTCGTACTATGAATAACAAATTTATTTTGTAAAAAATATTTCTGTACTCCTAACAACAAAATTATTAAATTTAAATTTACCTGTGTACGTTACTTTATTTAACACCATTGTTTCCTAGGTTAAAGTTGTCTTTTTGACATTGAAACATCTTTTTTATTTATAGTGTGTCATAGATCAAACTTATTCGTTCAGTGTATATTTACTTGTTTTTGTGTATTGTCTTTTTGATCGAGTTAAGCCATTCTGTATCTGTATAAGGAATTCCCTCCTTCAAAGGAGCAATTCTTTTCAGAATCGGTTAAAAGTTCATAACTATATTTACAGGACGATATTTACAGTGGACATGGATATAAAAAAATAAAAAGATTACGCCCCGTGGGGTGCATGTTGGCTCCAGTCGTTGACCTTTTCGTTTGCTAGACGGCAAGGCCTTCAATAGTTCATTTCTTAGGACATGTAAGGCGTACAGAGTTTCCTGGTAATATACTCTACTTTAAAGCAATTGTCAGTACATTTGCATCTACAGTCACAAGCGCATAATAATCTATTTGGATCTAAAACAAGCTGTTTATCTATTACTAAGCTGGTTAGGTTAAAGCATTTAGCACAGTTTCAATTAATATTTTAATGTGTGTCTTTGTATGTTGTAATGTTATACCACTGTTTCAGGTTAGGGTTAAGGTTGGCGCCACTTAAAACGTTTAAACCCGCTGCATTTTTATGCACCTGTCCTAAGTCAGGAGTCTGTTGTTCAGTGGTTGTCGTTTGTTGGTGTGGTTCATAAGTGTTTCTCGTTTCTCGTTTTTTATATAGATTAGACCGTTGGTTTTCCTGTTTGAATTGTTTTACACTAGTCTTTTTGGGGCTCTTTATAGCTTGCTAGTCAGTGTAAGCCAAGGCTCCGTGTTGAAGGCCGTACTTTGACCTATAATTGTTTACTTTTTAAACATTGTGACTTGGATGGATAGTTGTTTCATTGGCACTCATACCACATCTTCTTATTTATTTTTAGTTATTCATATTTACCTTTAGAAATATACATAAATAGAGGCAATTGAGTAGTATATTTGAACATCCAATTCAAATTCACCGTGCGAGTCTTATATATGACTGCATGATACAAGTGATATGCAATGCAAACAATATCTAGTTAAAAGGAAGGGTTTTTCGTCATTATTCTGCGCTCTTTGCACAAAGCAATCTTCTCTCCGTTGAATAAATGGTAGGTTACTCTTAAATGTACACAACGTGGGACCTTTTTATCTCCGTATGGTATTTTGTGAAATAACCTCATAAACTTGAAATTTTTTTATAATGAAAATCGAAATATGTTAATTTATTTTTTTATAATTCAATGATATTAGCTCTGCACATTTATTATTCTTTCAAATGAAACTGTTGGCTGTGAGGAAAAAAGAATATTTTGAAAAATGCCTTTTAAATTTGGTTGAAACATGTGAAAGACAGTTATGCATTGAAATAAGAAACACGTGAGTATTGGCATCCTCATTGGAAGGCATCTGACAGACTGTGTATGTGTAAAATCGTTGTTATCGATAGCCGATGACGAACAAGTTGCTTTGATTCTATGTCTTATCTGGTAAAACACCATTCCTTTCTGAATCAAACGTATCTTTAAAATTTTAAGCATATCGCAAAAAACACGTTTAATATTAATATCTGAAAAATTGTTTCAATATATAAATAAGAAAGAAGATTTGGTATAATTGCAAATTAGACAACTCTCAACCAGAGACCATAGAAGTAAACAACTATAGGTCACCGTGTAGCCTTCCACAATGAGCAAACCCCAAACAGCATAGTCAGCTATAAAAGGCCCCGAAATGACAAATGTAAAACAATTCAAACGAGAAAACAATGAACGACATATAAATATGATATACAGCAAAAAACGACAACCACTGAATTACAGGCTCCTGACTTGGGACAGATACATACACAATATGGCGGGGTTAAACATGTTAGCGGTCGCCCAACCCTCCCTTAACTTGGGACAGTGGTATAAAAGCACAACATATGAACAAACTATAAAAATCAGTTGAAAAGGGCTTAACTCATCAGATCACAAAAACACAGATAGGACGTGGCAGGGTATTTATACATCACTACAACAAAACAGTTCAGGACGAAAACGCAATTATACGCTGGAACAACGATCCCATGATAGGTGAGCTTAACTCGGGTGTGTAGGCACACCACAAAGCGACAAGGGTATTACCCAGGGGGAGGCGGAAAATCTCTGCAAGTTATTAAACGAGCACCGGCACAATGTATTTTGGGTTGCAAATTTTTTAATTTAGGAAGTATTTGTTTTTTGGTTTTATCTTTTTTTTTGTGTGAGGGGGGAAGCCAATTTATTAGCCTTGGTATTTTTTTAGGTTAAATAATGCAATTTAAAAAAAAAATTAAGGAGGGGGAGCACAATCTTCTATGCAGAGTAATGGTCCTTAGTAGGCAACATTGAGGGGAAGCACCATCGAAGTTCCATGACGATTCGATTAAGATTACATAAATATGTCAAAATAGAGGGTCCCTTAAACGAGTCCTACGTGTGATTCGTCAAGAGTACGTTCCTTTCGTCAAATTGTAAGAAAGCTCTATTAAAACCAACATACGTATTACGATCTGTCCACACTGTTACGGTTTTACCCCTCATATTTCCAACACGAAATTTACCACGGAATAATTATATATTAAACTTGCTTTCAATTACTAGAAACATTCACATTACAGTTGTACATTTTTTTTTATTGTTGGGATGTGCATGTGTTTAAATGTTTCAACAAACACAAAATAAAAGTATCTCAAACATTTTTATTTTGACTTACCCTTAGTTTCACAAAGTAATCCTGCATATCCCCCTGGACATTGACATTTTCCTCGAGATATGCAAGTTCCACCATTTTTGCAGCCAGGTGGACAAAAATCTGAAGAGACATACGAAAATAATATCAAAATTTCTCTGAACTAATCTCATCTTTCAAAATGCAGATAAGTAGGACAATACAAAAGATAACAGGGATAACGTATAGAATTCATGGAGCATGTATTGTTTACTTGGCAAAATTGATAAAATACAGAGAGGATATATGAATGCATTAAAACTATGTAGGCCAAAGTCTTGTCTTGCTGATCATTTTTGCTAAACAGAGTTTTAGTTGATTTATTATAGTTTTCAAGATAATAGACAGACTTGAAATAAAAACGGCAAAACATACGATGAAGTGGGCGATTTCAATCTTTTGACATATTTGTATATCTTATGTGGCTGATCATTTTTGATATTCAAAGTTTCATCCTATTTTTTTAGAGTTCTAAGATATCAGGTAACACACGAGAATTGGTATGAAATCATCTCTTCAGGGCAATAAGTCGTATGATAAGTCACCTGACCTTTTCGGCCATGTCGACTTATTTGTAGATGTTATATTGCTGATTAATTAATTGTGTTGTTTACAGTTTCTCTTTAATGCCAACACGGAAAAATGTGTACGAATCGTCTTTCCATTGTAACAACTCCTATAACGAGTCGACTGACCATTCAGCCATACTGATAGTTTTTTCAATTAAAAGTGTCTCTCTATGTATTACAGTTTCAAATATATATAGCCAAAAGACAAAAATGGTAAAAATTGTCCTTTAAGGACAATAACTCCTAAGAATATGAAATAAGACGATGTAGTATGATTGCCTTAGAGACAAATTTCCACCAGAGACTGAATGAGATAATTATTAACACCGTACGACATGCATGCATAGAAGGAGATGCTTACCCTGTCGACGCATTCAGTCTCACTCCTTTTATAGTGCATCTGGTTCTCTCAGTTTTTGTTTGTTACCTTGAATTGTCTCTAAATAATCGATTTACGAGATTTTAACATCGATAAACTACTATCGCTTTAATCTATAACAATGAGCAAACCCCATACGACACAGCAAGCTATAAAGGCATCGTTTGATAAATGTCAAACAATTCAAACGAGAAAACTAACGTTCTGATTTATGTAGAAAACAACAATCTTATTAAAATATAGATCTCTGATTTCATTATGCTCATATGACGAGCACGCGAGTTCCGATAGATCTGAATGACAAAACAATAAACGAAAAAACAAATATATAGATATATACAGCAACAATCGACAACCAATGAATCACAGGCTCCTTACTTGGAACAAGCACATGTAGATATGGCGGGGTAAAACACATTTTCAGGCACCAAACCCCCTCTCTTACCTGGAACAGTGGTGTTACATACCAACACATGAACACATGATAAAAATCAGTCGAAAAAGGATTGACACATCAGATCGAAAAAAAATTATAAAAAGACTCCAGACATAAATTATCGACCTGAGAGTACCATCAAATACTGAAAGCTAGTTCAAAGCCAATAACAACTAAAAACAAAAACATGCTTCAGAGACTAAGACATCAATCATTTATTAGTACATATCTAATGAGTTTAGTGTAAAGACGTCATAAACAGTCAGATTTTCAAATTGTCATAACTATTCAAACTACTTCATATAGTAATTATGTTTTAATATTTTTTTGTTCGGGATATTCCAACATGCAAGAAAAGATTTTTTTAATAGATATAAGAAGATGTGGTATGAGTGCCAATGAGACAACTCTCCATCCAAGTCAAAATTTATAGGTCACAGTACGGTCTTCAACACGGAGCCTTGGCTCACACCGAACATTAAGCTATAAAGGGCCCCAAAAATTACTAGTGTAAAACCATTCAAACGGGAAAACCAACGGTCTAATCTATATGAAAAAAGAGAGACGAGAAACACTTATGAACCACATCAACAAACGACAACTACTGAACATCAGATTCCTGACTTAGGACAGGTGTAACATCACAACATAGAAAGACACACTATAAAATATCAACTGAAATAGCTTAACTCAATCAATGGACATATTAACATCAGTGAACATACACTGAACAAATAAATTTGACCTATGATACAATGTAAATACAAAATTAAGCATTTTTACTTAGCTATGGTATTTTGAACCCTCTACCATGGAAAACTGACCCCCCTCTATAGACCTCAGATTTTCAAATTGTCATTGCTATTCTAACACACGTATGTAATATAGTAATAGTGCATTAATAAGTACTTAGCAGGAATCAAATATATTAGAAACTATTTTTACTCAGCCATGGTACATGTATTTTGAATCCCCTTCAATCGAAAATTGAACCTTCACCTATAGACCTCAGATTTTCAAATTGTCGTAACTATTCAAACCATTTGGTATTTTGACCCTGAGGTCTATTTTCCCTATGGTATTTTGACCCTGGGATATATTTTTAGGAGGTTAAAAATATCATTTGAAACCGACAATTTTTTTTCTATATAAACAACGCATGTCAAGATATATGACAATACACGCATTTCATCCATTTGTTTTATTTTTTTATTGCATTGGCGGTCATGTTGATTGACCGAAGGGTTTATCGGACATAATTTGTAAACTAGATCACCTAAGGATGATTGTGGCGTAAATGTTTGTTGCAATTGACTCAGTCGTTTAATACGTGAAGAATTTTGTAAAAGTTAACGATGAACACAGGAAAGGGACACCTAACGATGTCAATAGCTCAAATTGGCCCTGTTGTCCAGATGAACTAAACTATTTGACAGTACCATAGAACACACAAACCACAAACTCATAAAAAAGACGTTAAATCAAAAAGAAATATTACCCATTGTCCAGACAGCCAAACTAAGTACAAACACACACTATGTGGGTTAAAACAAAAACTCATCAAAATATTGGAATTTACAGTTTTTATTAGTAAACTAGTTCAACGTATGTACAACCTAACCTTCCCCTTTGCCTATGTAGACCATATGTCGATTAAACATACAAAAAAAACCTGCACGGTTTAGCTACGAACTGAGTACTTCAACACGGAAATACAAGACGGCACATACTTTGGAAGCTCGTCTGAGCTTTACAAAACTTTGAAAAAGCTATCAGAATTTTTCAACATTTTTTTTTGAGGAAATGTAATTATGGAATGTATAATGAAACTAGTGGCCTTGATGTATGATGCATGTCTATATGAAGAACAGAACAATGTATAATGCCATATTCCAGGATGCACCAAGCATATATTTTCTGCGAGCAGTTTTGCGCAGGATCGACAGCGTTTATACTTCTACAAGTATTATACAATCTTTCAACATTCGATTACATTTAATAGGCGTTGTCAAAAGTACAGAGAAATCATTTAAGGCTATAAAATACCTGTTATAGTTTTTATAAGTTTTGGCAAAGTTGTATCCAAGTTATCGTAGGTTGTATCAAAGTAATATTCCGGTTTGGAGACCAAAGACTTGAGTTGATTTACATCAATGTTGGAACCGATTCCTATCCCAATTATCGTTACGTTTTTGCTTTTACATATTAACAGTCCAGGTTTGTATGCACTAGATGACCGTCCATCAGTTATCAACACCAAAATATTCTGGGCATAGTGTCGATCTCCTGTCGTCAGTTGAAACATATATTTACAAGTGTAGCCAAGAGCACCATCAATATCTGTTCCGCCACTTCCAAAATATGTTTTCAATATAGCGTCTGTTACATGTTCTTTTGAGAAATGATCATCTAGTTTAAAGCTTTTTCTAATAGAGCCACTGAATAAAGCCAATCCAATACGTAGTAAGTCATATCTGATAGGAAGTCTATTAACAGCATTGGCAAGATATTCCATAGTTACACGAAAATTGTCATCTCCAACACTACCTGATTCGTCTACCACAAATATAATATCAGATGCTGAAAAGATGACAGTTTTTTTATCGCATGATATTTGAATGGCAATTTCTGTAGCGATATGAACATTCTATGGCAACTTCATTTCTAAGGAATTATTTTAATGTGTTATTCTACCTCGAACTATTGTTCCACTTTAATTAGTATTTAAACACAAGTCATAATTTGTAGAATATCCGCCCCCCCTCCCCCCCCCAAAAAAAAGTAAGAATTGGTTTTCAATTATATTTCAACATTTCTTAAAGCTAGTGCATAAATGGTATATGAAGTACCAGCTGTCGAAACATTAATAAACAGAATAAAAATTTATTAATAAGAACAACTTTGAATTTTCGATATATATTTCAATAAGGACTTTAACAGAAACAAGTTAGTGCCAAAGTGAAAATAAAATTATTTCGTTTATCGACATACCGTGTTTTCCGTGTATATGGAAATTTTGCATCCAGCTGTAGGCAACTCGTTTACGTGGCCTCTCCACAAGAAAGATTTTTATGATATAGTTTTAATGCCCACTGAATGAGAATGCTTGAGAATGTTTTTTTACAAGTGAAAAATTAAATTTCTGAAATTTTTTGATAATGAAAACCACACATTTATACTAAATATCCTTCAGCTGAGATTAAACAGAACCTATATAAATTCGTATATTTCATAAAAATACAAAGCAAAAGTATGCTAATGAATGGCATCAATAAACTGAAACCTGCAATATTAATAACTTTACAAACATACTTACGATTAACATCACAGAAATCGCCTGCATAACCTGGTCGACAAGAACATTTATTTGGTCCATAACATTCCCCGCCATGCTGACAAGGTGGAAAACACGCATCTGTAAAAACAAAAGCATTAAATCAACACCTTCTTTTTCAAACATAAACTTGTATTTCATACACCGTCCGTTCATCAAATCGACGTCATAATGAAATGAGATTCCAAATCGACGGCCGATTAAATGCCCTTCTAATCGACGTCTTTTTTTTTGTTCTGCGCTCCGCCTCCAATCTTAACTCGTTAGGATTGTCAGTTTTCCTTCCAAAAATTGGTGGTTCTCTTCAGGCACTCCGGCTTCCTCCACCAATAAAAGCTGACCGCCACGAAATAGCCACTAGTGTTGAAACTGAGTGGTATAAAACACCAATCAATCAATCAATCAAGTGTCTAATTGTCATTAACTGATGTTTGTACTTTTATTTTTTTTAATTGATTATTTGGGACGTGATGTTTCCTACTTTGTTGTTCCTTCTCATATACGTTAACTTAGTGGATGAATAATCTTTTGGTAAAAACCTAACAACGACATCTAAGGAAGCAGAGTGAAGTATATTATTGTACATGTAGTTCCCTGCCAAGAAGTGGAGAATGACGTGGTGTTTTCACTATACAGTTTATTTTCTTATCCGAAGCGAATCACACAGTAAACCAAAATTTTTATTTGATTTAATCACGCATCGACACCAGGATTTTGTGAAAAATCTTCGTTGGACATACACACTTTTAATCAAACCGCAGCTGAAAGAAAACTGTGTACATAACTCTTTGACAGAAAGAATAATGACATGGATAAACAGATCTGACGCAATCAGAGTTCTTAATGTTTGTCTTGTCATAATACAATATTTCTATTTACTTTTTCCGTTGGAACTACTTGCACATTATACGCACTAATTTTGCTAATCTCTTCACAACTTAATGTCTTTCTCATCAATACATCATCACCTACAAAATACTAACAATGACAATTAAATCAATAATACATTGAATAAGTCTTAACTTACAACCAGAACATACTCCTCCTACAATTTTGTTTGAACAGCGACATGTATCAGGACCATAGCAGGTTTCACCACCGTTACAGGGAGGATTACAGATGGCTGAAATTTAATCAAATACGTCATTTAAGACATTTAAACATAAAAAAAGTCTATGTCTTAATGCAAAGGCTATCTAAAGTTTCGAAACTGTCTGTTTATTTTTAAAATGATTATATTTCTAATATAACCGTTGATGTAGACTGGGTGAAATTGTCATTACCTTCAACGGTCAGAACGCCAACGAGTCATTTGTTTCAAATAATTCATACTTCAAATGTCAAACCTTTCCCAAATATTAGAATCTTTCTCACGTCACGAATGGCAATAATCTGGTTAAAACCAGAAAAATCACTTTGTTCCGGGAGATTTGTTTGTCGCAGCGTGTAGTATTAAGAAACTAATAAATAACGGACAAAACTAAACTTTCGACTATATAAGCCAACGGAACGACCGGAAAACAACTGTCATATTCCGGACTAAGTATATATATTTTTCGAAAAAAATGTTGGATTATCTCATGACATCACATACGGGGCTATGTTAAGTGACCTTTTAGTGTGCAATCTGATCTCTGCGTACAAAAGTTTTGGAAATTTGAACTACTGAGTTTCAAAAATAATCATTGGGTTAACTGCGAAAAATTTCCCAATATACTATATATATCGGTGTTCTTACTATTTATGGAATGTTCGGACGTTATTCCGACTGTTATGCACCAAGCTGGTTGTAAACATTCCTCAACGTAGCAAAAACAAAAGTAAAGTTTATGTGTGTTCTATATTTAAAATCGTAAGTTGGTCAAATATTTTATCATTTTAACGTCGAAATTTCGACCAAATTGCTTTATACTACTAGTATATTTGCCGGGAAAAAATGTAATTAAAGTGCCAGATTAGCGATTTCGAATTTCCGTTGAAGAAATTTTGACTCAAAATTATATATATATTATTGATTGAATATTTACGTTTTTCAGTAGAAATCCATTTACCTTGATATATAAGGTGAAAATGTATGAACATGACAAAAAAAAAAGGCAACGTCGTGATTACGACTCTCTGCAAAATCGAAATGTTCATCCTTATTTATACATAACTCAAACTTAAATGATTTAGACAGCAAAAAAGAATCCGGTGACCCCTAATATGTTAATATCATTTAAACAGAAATGTGTGCACCTAAAACATTTAATTTCAAACAAATTCATGGAGACGGGTATTTAAACAGTGCCATCAACAGCTAAGTATCTGATAAATATAATACATATATCAAGTCAATCAAAACTTGTATTGGAGCTTGGGTAATACATTATATATTCCGGCATTACATTGTAAGTACAAGTATAATAATATTATTCTGCTTTGGAAAACATTTTCGCTATTTTGATTTGCTTAGAGTTACCCTATATTTGATCGTTCTATGCATAACAAATAAAGATATTTATTCGATATGAAATAATGATATTGTATAATCTTTTAAAAACTTACGAATATCACAGGTATACCCTTCCCATTTATCGCAGCAATTGATCCCTCTGTAACTTTTTGTATTTGAACACCTGCATACATTTAAATATTGCAATCATTCAATTATCAATTTACATGCAATAATTTTATTCTTATACGAAATAAACAAACCTGAGTATACAGACGTTCTAACCAAGATATTTCTACATAAGGAAATGCCTGTACCAAGTCAGGAATATGACAGTTGTTTTTGTTTGATGTGTTTGAGCTTATGATTTTGCCATTTGATAAAGGACTTTCCGTTTTGAATTTTCCTGGAGTTCGATATTTTTGCTAATTTACTTTCTAATACGACAGCAAAGCACAACAATGTTGCAGGCCCATTTCTTTGGAAACATCATAACATAAACGGTTTGTTTAATTGAAGATTCAACAGAAATTATATTTTAAAAGTTGTGTGAGTTTCAAATTTTTTCCTTTTCATCCTACCCCTTCCCCAGAAAATCAAATGGCCATACCTTTATTTTTTCTATTTTTGGTGGCCGTACATTTCTGAGGGGAGCCAACCGTGCAAATTTTTATTGCAATTTGATCCTATCGACATATATGGGCTTTCAGAGGAAAAAAGCATCAGTTACCAACACCTGTTAACGTTGTGTATGTCTATTGTACTGAATAATCAAAAGTTCAGGCGTCTCTGTTGATTGCAACTATGCCATATCCAGATTAAATACCTCTGATCAGCTAGAAATACTTCATGCATAACCGGCACACAGAAGGCAACTGGGAGGGTCATTCGAGTTCTCAATAAACTTGACTATAACAAGAAATGACTACAACTTATTATTGTAAGCTGACAGGTTACAACTGCATATGTGCTCCTGTGTTATATATGCATTATATAGGTCTTTGATTGGGCAATATTCAAGAGACTGTTACCTGTGGAATTCCTTGGTAGAAGTTAATTGATTACATGAAGCTTGTAAGCCTATAATAACAAGTCTTTGAAACTTTCATGGAAGCCATCATGGCTCGGCTGACCGTTATAGAATGTCTATGGTAAACATTTGCCCGGATATATTCTATTTGTCAAAGCCATGTGTTGATCACTTAGTCCTGTTTAGGACTCGAATACCGAAACCAAATGCTTGTCCGATTATGCTTTTCATAGACAAACAAATGAGTGCCACAAGAGAAGGCAAACTATCCTTCTTCCTTTAACCTAGGGATTTTCGTTGGAATGTGTTGCAATCTTATTTTGTTTTTTTGTGTAATGATTTCATGGTTTCAGTTTGGTTTTTATCTGGTGACAATAGTGTTGCTCGACATTTTTCTACAATATTTTATGTTGCCCATTAATTCTAATTTTGAAATGTTTATATAAAAAATTCAAAATTTGTGTTAGAGCTAAATGTTAATTCATCGATAATAAATTTTGATGTACAATAAATGGTTAATTGCACGGGAATTTCTGAATATTATCTGTAGTAGAAAAACCAGTTATATTCAAAAGCAATATGAAATCCAGTAAGGATAACATTCCTTTATAATTACATAATAAACTACCAGTATTAAAAAAAAGCCGAGGTAAAATTAAGCATAAAAAATATAAACACCAGTCTTGAAATCTCTCCAGACTCGAATTGTAAGATTTAAGTTACGCGTTGGTATCAAAATTCAAATTCAGATATTGAATAGTAATGTCGTGAGTGTATAATTTATTGATAAGGATTCATTATGATAAAATATCAGAATACATACCCAGGACAAGACTCAGTGCCATACTGGTATTGTCTTTGTCTGTAGCAAAAATGTCTACAAAGTATAAAAATATAATATAAGGATGACAGCAACATCACAGGTTGTCATTTGTCAATATTTAACTTATATGAATGACTTTTGTATTATTTTCACCACAACCTTCCATTAATTACTATAATATGATACAATATAGAATACAAGAAGATGTGGTATGGGTGCCAATGAGTCAACTCTCCATCCAAGTCACAATGTATAAAAATTATAGGTCAAAGTACGGCCTTCAACACGGAGCCTTGGCTCACACCGAACAGCAAGCTATAAAGGGCCCCAAAATTACTGGTGAAAAACAATTCAAACAGGAAAACCAATGGTCTAATCTATATGAAAAACGAGAAACGAGAAATACCTTTGAACCACATCAACAAACGACAACCACTGAACAACAGGATCCTGACAATGTCTATAACCTACAAGGTGATTTTGATTGATTGATTGATTGATTGGTGTTTAACGCCACGTTTAGCACTATTGAGCTATTTTGTGGCGGTCAGTTTTTATTGGTAGAGGAAGCCGGAGTACCCGGAGAAAACCACCGACCTTTGATAGAAAAACTGACAATCCTAGTCAATTGAGATTGGAGTCGAGCACATCTGCCTCATGCGGAATTCGAACTCACAACTTCGGTGTTGACAGGCTAGTGATACAGTACTTCTGTCACTTATACCCCTCGACAACCGAGGCCCCTCAAAGGTGATTTTGTGATATTATTCGAAAGCATGCTTTATAAGGCATGCCCAATGGTCGAATTTTGTAAACTAGAATATCATAACAAGTTCATTCAGTTTAATATAATGGTTGATTTCAACCATTTATAAAAATGTCACGCATCTGCATTCTACGCATACATTCTGATGAATAAAACAGTATCCCAAGGGATAAATTGAGATACTTATATGACAAGTGTTTGTTAAAAAGTTGCATGTGACATATTGATACTAATTCAAACAACATATAGTTGCTTATTGTTTTTGAAAAGGATGTAAGTGAGAAAATTATTGCCGTTAATTACAAGATTACTCTCTGTCCAGTTGACCTACTATACCGACATGACTGCAGCTGTCGTACCAGCAAACCAACGACAAACGTTGATAACCAAACGGAATATATATATATATATATATATATATATAAATTACAATAAAATACTAGAAAAACACTTAACTTTAAAATAGTAGTTTAAAGACAACCAAAGTACACATAAAAAAATCAAAAGACAAAGCAATATTAAATTGTACAATACAATGTTGTTAGTATATTTAGGTTTAAATCAAAATGATGTCTAAAGATACCCAACAAATTGCACTAATACATAATTTTATGTTAGGTCTTTGTATGAAAGTAAATCACTTTAATAGTTTTGATAACATGTTCCTCATCAAACCCGACAGAAAAATGAACAAAAAGTAAACTAACAAAAATACAGAACTCCAAGGAAAATTCAAAACGGAGAGTCCCTTAACAAATGGCAAACCCAAAGCTCAAACACATCAAACGAATGGAAAACAACTGTCATGTTCCTGACTTGGTACAGGCATTTTCTTATGTAGAAAACGCGCGGGTGCAATTTATAACAGGATATGGAAGGAGAACGAAAAACAATCGCACGTTTGATAAAAAGAAAGTTTAATGTTTGAAATTTTGCTTTAAATTTGAACCGTTAAAGACTGCATTTGAGTAAGAAATGTAAAATTTTACAATATTCATACGTAAGCTTGATGTGTGTTTGTGGTGTCGTGGGTGTGTATAAGTTGGTTTAAAAAAACAAGTGCCGTTACAAATGAAAAATTGAATAATTATAGAATGTTTCGGAAATGGGACAACAAATGTTTTGTCAGAACCATACACAAATTCGGTGACCTTTTAATTATTTTACAGCATTAAAACTGAACATCAGTTTGAATATGTTTATTTAATGGAAAAACTATAATAAACTGACTGGGTTTGGAGAGAAAAAATCATAAAGACAAGAAAAACTTTTTGTCTGATATACAAATGTTTATTTATTTTAGGATTTTCATCTAATCATTCTTAGGCTAGTAAATAATAAAATGAAAAGTTTATCTGTCTTTCTTTAAGATCAGTTCAACATGCCCAAGCCACATTCAAGAGTTTCCTTCGTCGCTAATTCACTATTCTTGGAAATAAAAGGATAATAATACAAAGGAAGAAAAGTAGGTTTTGCCCTACATGCAACAACTCTCTCTTTGGCAACCGGTTAATAATGGGATTTTAACATCAAATTAAGAATATTCAAGTTTTTTCTTATATGACATAATATAACTTTTTGAAAAGTCTAATGTGAACTACCAGTTAAATACCATGAAGAAAAAATACAAACTATGAATCTGTTAAATACAATATAAATATTAAACAAAATACAAAGCAAAATGCTCTATTGTACTCACCCACATAACAAAAAATGTAAAGACGAAAGAAATATTATTCCTTGAAGCCAACTACTGTATGTAATCTGCGCCATACTTTTGTTAACTGAAATTACATTTAAACAAACCGGAGGTCTAATAAGTGTTCTTTCTAAGCACTTTAAAAGCACTTTAAGTTTGGGAAACACCGTTATCTTACAATTTATACTATTCCATATTATTGTTTTTGATGACAGAAATGTGATGTGATATTTACTATTGAAAAAACGACTTTAAAAGAGCCTAATATTAAATATGTTCGTGTTCTGAAGAAATAACTCATCTCTGGAATGAGATATAGACAAAAATTACCAAGTGAAAAACAAAACTCAATTTCCCCTCATCCCCCAAAACAACTGCCACCACCACCACCACTAAAACAAAATCACTTTACCATTTATATACTACTTTGTTGATTAATAAAGACGTAGTAGTGATATGAAGTTACTCGATCGAAATTTTTTTTACTGAGGACAAGAGTTCAATGACGATTTTCAGTAAGTGTATAGATACTCTGTTTTCTATATCGTATTGGTCGCAGCGATAAAGCCTTTCTGCGCGGATGCGGTGAAAAGGAAACATCAATCAATCTTTATCTACAACTTAACTCTTATAAAAAGTTTAAACAGTTTCATGACGTTCGTTAACTCTTATATCTAAGAGCGGTAAATTCATCTCTTACTTATTCCTTATGTAACCATGATGTCAATCACATTCAAATTCCTAAAAATCATGAAAGAAATTATCTTTGTTTTTCGCCCACTGGAAGAGCAGGGGTCTATGTTCGGGTAAAACGTATTAATGTGTACACAAAATTCGTTTGCTTCATCATTTATTTTCAAAACTTTACTTTCAGAATCCGTCACACCTAACTTACGAATTCAATTTAGAGTGTTTTATATGTAAGGACAATACAATTGTGATAAGGAAAGTCGACAGATGCATTTTAATAACATTAAGTGTCATAACCTGCTGGATAACTTTCGGAAAAAGATAACAAATTTGTGAAAAATCCTATGCTTCTTTTTAATGTTTTACATAAAAAATAAACGAAAATAGTTCGTAGACCAAAATAGACGCTTCCGCAAATGTGTAAAACCAAAAATCGTTTGGAACTCATCAGGTAGCACCTGCCTTAAATCTGGAGGCTGGTGCTACCTGATGAGCTTCCGAAGGCTAGAGGTAAAACCTTAAAAGTCTGGAAAACCGCATTACGTGTCTTGTTAATAATACTGAATCATTTCCTTTAACTTGTTTTGTCATCGGCTATCGATGGTTTATTACACCTCTAAGTCCATTTTCAAGATACAAAATAATTTTTTCAAACCCTGGTTTCTCTAGTATTTAACAACATTGTCAGCACTTTGGTAAAATCTGACATACACCAAAAAAAACCAAATAGAGGAACATTAATATACCGAATACTTTTCATTATACTTGAAATCCAAACTGATTTAGTCTTAGAAACATAATTTTGTATTAGTTGTTATTGGCTTTGAACTAGCTTTCAGTAACTGCAAATACTCTCAGATCTGTACTGAAGGTCTTTTTGATGCTGTAGGGATGTTTAAATATCCTGCCTAGTCCGGTCTGTGTTTTTGTTACTGTTTTTTCTGCTTTGTATCGATTTGATGAGTTAATCCCTTTTCAACTCATTTTTATAGTTTGTTCATTTGTTGTGCTGTTACACCACTGTCCTAGGTTAGGGGAGGGTTATGCACCCGAAAACATGTTTAACCCCGCCACATTCTGTATGTGCTTTTCCCAAGTCAGGAGCCTGTAATTCAGTGGTTGTCGTTTGTTGCTGTATATCATATTTGGTTTTCTTTGTGCATTGTTTTGTTCATTAGGTTAAGTGAGGTTATGCACCCGCAAACATATCTAACTCCGCCACATTCTGTTTCTGCCTAACCCAAATCAGGAGCCTGTAATTCAGTGGTTGTCGTTTGTTGCTGTATATCATATTTGGTTGTCTCTGTTCATTGTTTTGTTCATAAATCAGGCTGTTAGTTTTCTCGTTTGAATTGTTTTACATTTGTCTTTTCGGGGCCTTTTATAGCTGACTATGCGGTATGGGTTTTGCTCATTATTGAAGGCCGTACGGTGACTTATAGTTCTTATTAACTTCTGTGTAATTTGGTCTATGGTCGAGAGTTGTCTCATTTGCAATCATACCACATCTTATTATTTTTATATGAATTCTAAATGAGTCACATATTCCTTTAATATTTATAAATGATGAAGTGCACTCTTAAGGTGATATCTTAACAAAAAATAGATACAAAAGTACAGATTTTGAGATAAGTTTCATTCGGTGATGAGTGTGTATGGGATCATGGTACACCAATTGGAACATAATCATGGTCATCTGTCACACAAATTTTTTAATAACGATCAACCACAGAGTGAATGTGTCCGTAAAACTTTCAAAGGATTAACCCGAACTGTACCCTTTGGAACCCTTGGTCCAATAGTTTCCTTGTAAAGAACAACCCTCTCTTTATCAAGCAAATCCTGGTTGGAAAGATAACACAAGCGCTGGAATAATGTATCAATAAACTCATCTTATATACTAGGATTAACTTTGAGTACGCCAGACGCGCGTTATGTTGCTACATAGACATGGAATGTTCACAATGTAAGAGGCAGAATTCAATATAATTGACATTCATACTTGACCATGAACGAGTTTGTGTTAACATCATTGCCAATGCCACAAGAGGTTTGATTTGCCAGTTCGTATTTTTCCACAAATTTACGTAATGCAGTTACTATTTACAATATCAAAATAGCGCATTTTTCATAAATTTAAGAAAATTTACAGATCATACGTTACTTTTTTTGAACATGTTATAATTTTGAACAGAAATATGGAAACATATTTTACGCAAATAATTAAATCAACGCAATGTAAAAAGCGTGTGTGTCTTAATATAATATAGCATTGTACGTTTCATTCCAATTTAAAACCAAACGAAAGCAGTGAGTAAATGAAGTAAAGATATGACCGATCTTCCCATTTTTGGATATAAACAGTTTATTTGATATACCGGTATAAAGGCCGGATTCGTCTACTTCACAAAACCTTGTCAGGTGTTATGACTATTTATGAGATGTATGCACTAAGTACTCAATATTTAATCTAACAAAAGGACACTAGTCATACTTCTTATTTTTCAACATTAGATTTACAGATATGGGAATGAAATCATTATTTTACATGCAGTTTTAATCGTTATGCTTTCAAGATATTTTAACCACTTTCATTATAAGGTTGTTTTATGGTTTTTCACACTCTATCACAGATTATCGGTACTTCAGATACAATCGGAAGAACTGTTTGACATATCCTGTATACGATGACAAAATCCTTTTTACTACAATGGCAATCAGAACTGGAAACAATTATCTGTTGTTCACTCTTGGAATAGATGTACTTTTTCATAGTTATTTAAAAATCCAAAAGAAATATTAATATGTCATTTTTGAGAAGTACTAATTGTTTCAAATTACTAAAATTTTTGTCGCACATTTACTCATTTAAGGTAGCACAACAGTCATACAATGATTTTAGGAAAAATTGTTTTATAACATTATTTTAAAGTATTTATTCCCATCTGAACATTTTGTGAAAAATCCCAGCGTCATCATCATGACTTTGTCACAACAGGGAGTAAATTAATAATTAAATCATGTAAATAAAAGCAAATGGAAAATACTTTATATATAAGAGCATATGGGAGGATCTTATCTTTCAAGCATCTGTTGTTTCCAGCTGTTAATCTCTGACCACAAGATAAATAATGCATTCCAATGTCATTATATTGCAACTAAAATTGTTTTGTATTAAAGAGAAAAAAGTAAACAGGGAAAAAATCCAAAGAGAAGACGTATATAGATAAATATAAATGTGCAAGAGTAGCTTTGAAAGCCACTGGGAAAGTTCGAATGGAACTCTCGAGTAGACAGGATTGACATGGTCATATATAACACCTGTTATGATTGGGTATAGCTTTCCCGCCATTAAAACTGGAGGAGCCCTGGATTTGGGCATGGTTAATCGAAATCGACTTGATATCCCGGATGTTATGACGTCAATCAAATCAAATTTGAAGGTCAACATATCCGAGTAGGGACCTTGTACTTCCGGTTATCTAGAAACCTTACTCTTCAAAATTATTTACCGTTCATATGGAACTCCAGTCATAACTCGGGTTCCATTCGAACTTGATCTGAGAGATTGTATCTGAATCTGACAACAGCAGTAGTGACATTCACAACAATCCTTATTCTAGACAAACCACCTGGATAATAGTGATTTTTTTAAACTTGTAATATTATAATTTTCTGTTCTATTTTGTAGAGGACAGTAGGTAGTATGAAAATATCTTTTATTATTTATTTCTAAGTTTCTGTGTCATTCCACAGTACTTTATATTTCTTTTTAAATATGAATGATAATTGTTATTTCATAATGAGAATGATATCAAATATTGATTATATGGAGCTGGTCACTATTGATATTCTCTTATCTAAAACTGTGTGTATAGGGGAGGAGCTTTGATCATATTTAATTACTACATTAGAGATGTTGGTCAAATCTGTGACGTCAAACGCCCGCCAAATGCTACATAAGTGTTGTTCAGGGATTGACAGTGCACAAATAATGCAACTGTTTCAATTAAAGTGTATAAAAGACAAACACTGTGTGGTTCTATTCATAAAATAATGGTGTCAAGATACTCCTGGGGTATTCCGAGAATAACGCTTATATTAATGTTGCATTTATAGGGGTTCAAAGTGGGATATTTAGTTTTTAGGTGATTTTTCAAAACCATTTTTCATGGGAATTATTATCGAAAAATGAAAATAGAAACTTTATGGGTATCACCTTTGGTTTGGCTTTGATATATGTGATTAAGGGGGTATTTTCTACAAAACTGTGTCCCAGTTTTGGGAAAATTTGTTTCTGCATGAATGAATTTATATGCCTCCAAAGATGAAAAGTGAAATAAGGTTTGGCATCCAGCAGTTATATAAGTATATTTTCTAATTAGTGGCATATATCAAAATTCTG